ACTTACTGACAAATTCCCATACTGAAAGCTTTTGTTTCTGTTGACCTTTCCTCACTTACACTGCAACTGTTACGAACTGACTCTGCAACACAACAGTTTAATTATCGCCAAGAAGAAACATCAATAACTGTCCAATAGTATCTCGGTTTGACACTCGGAAGATGATATGGAAAGCTGACGACGTGATCTTTCCAATTATATTTCTCTCGTTTCCTGGTTCCTTTTAGATCAAGGGGAAAACACTGATGAAGTAGACTGTTGGCAGATTCCGATCTACAACAAACAATCTCAAAGAAATAACCATAACTATTAGAGAAAAACTCCAAAATGATGATCCGTTTTCTGATAAACATAGATCTTCGAGTGTAGAAAATAACCTCAATTTTGGCTTAAAATTTCTATATTTGATTGATCGTTCTTTTGTTCCCCAAAACGTGTCTGCTGAGCCTTAATCTCTCTTTAAATAGGAAGAATTTAGAGTTTTCTCCCACACTAATGAGCCTAGCCGGGCCGAATTAACTGGGCTGGGTTTTGGGTCGTTACATATATATTCTAAGGTTTACGATTTTGGATGTTAGATAATAGATTTTTATTTTATGTTCCAAATATTTTATTATATCAAATTTATAGTATTTAGGTGAATGTTGTATTTTGATTTAACCTTATACACAATTTTGTAATTTTTTTGTTGTACATCAATTAAAAAAATGTTAATATTACTAATGAGATTTGTTTAAAATTATCTTTTACATTAAAAAAAATCAATACTTTTGTTCATCACAGATTTATTTAAGATTCTGCTAACCAAACATGAGATTAGATGGTCAAATTCGAACACCATTTGCAGGATTATCCATTCTTTTGTTTTGAATCTAAGGTACATGCGTGATCACGAAAGTTAAAAGAATTTCTTGATCCCTTGTAATTTTTCTAGGTAGGATGCAAAAGCATATCATTCTCATGGTTCCAAAACTATATTCACCAACGGAGAACAATGTGTTGCAAAATGCCACATGGAATCGGCTAAAAAAATTTTCTATATGCATTTCATCACCTATATAAAACTTCTAGTGCGTGTAAAAGGGATAAACTATGTGTCTTGTTCTACTAGAAACTAACCGTGTAGATGTAGTATTTGAGATTCAATTCCAGTGGATCAGTTTACACTTTATTTCAATGGGATCAATATCAAACTAAAATAATATGAGGGTTTTAAAGTAAGAAAGCGTAAAAAACAAGTAACAGATTGGTTTAAGGTTTTCAGATGATTAAGAATGTTAACTGGGGTGGATTAATTGGATATCAAGCGAGCATGAACCAAATAACTATTCAAAAAAACAATTGAAAACAAGCATAGAACTCGAAAAACATATAAACTTTGACCCACTCTCGTGGAAACTTCCCTTTTATCAAGCAATTCTAATGCCTAAATTGTTATTTGGACTAGAATATGAAGACAAACATTAAGTTTAGATTTGATTAGTTCACAACAATGCCCTAACATCTACTTTTGCTGGTCATGGACGAGCTGACTATTCAAGTTATTTCTAACAACCTATTTTTGATGAATAGATTAAACTTAGAATCATAAACTAAGTGGTTAACTTTATGCAAACTTTACATGCAACAATGAATGGAGACAATCAAACAATAACCCTTATTTGTATCCAGTTCATAAATCTCAATATCCTAACACTCTAAACTAACAAGATGACTATTCATGAACTAAGTGGTTAACTTTATCCATTATACTTGATTCCAGTTATTAAGCCTGATGGATTCGAGAAGGTGTCTTGGATGATACCATTATCAACGACCACCTTAAAACAACAACGAAGTAAGCAAAATCTCATGTATAACATTTTTTCGACCTAAGGATTCTACTATATTAGCCTCTTGTAAAAAAAGGTATTCTACTATACTAAAAGAATAAAACATTCATCAAAAGAATAAATATTTTAGTAGCATAGTTAAACCGAATATGAGAAAATGAAATAAAAACTTCGACCGTACTTGGTCAACGCCAATTTTCTTAAGCGTAACCGGAGGAGATGCAAGGTTTTGTCCCGGTTTGGCAATAGTTAATTTGTTTCTGTAACAAGAAAAATAAACAATTATTTCTTTTTCAAAAAATAAAGAATTTCAATTAAACAAAACATAATTATCATCTATGTCTCTCTTTTTTTTTTGGTCAAACTTTTATCATCTATGTCTCTTCAATAAAAAAGTCACTAGAGTATGACAATCAATAATTTAACAGATATAAGTATGTAAGAACACGACTCAATGGTATCATCCAAGTCACCTTCTCGAATCCATCAGGCTTAATAACTGGAATCAAGTATAATGGATAAATTTAACCACTAAGTTCATGATTCTAAGTTTAATCTATTCAACCCCCTCTATACTATATATCTCAAACCTGCAAAAGTCACATTTTCCAGACAAAACTTCTTACATTCAATTAAGGGTGGTGTGAGCTTCTCATCACATGCACTATTCAGGATAGAAGATGCTAGGTGTGAAACATGCCATTTAAGTGTTTAGGTGGAGCTAATCAGTGTTTAGCGATTGCCATTTCTTTGTAGAGGATACATGATAACACACAAAATTGCAAGAGAAGATAGATCCATTAATGTCCACAGCCTCTACTCGTTTTTGCCTGCTCTCTCTCTCTGGAACAATTTCTCCGATCATCCTCTTGTTCTTCTTTCTTTTAACTCGGTAATCACTCTTTTGTTCGACTTTCCAGTGACTGTTGTTTCTTTGAACTCTTCCCTTCCTCCATCACCTTATTTTTGTTTTGTTGGCTCTTATTGTGGCTTAAAGGTAATTAACATAGAACAGAATAAAAAAGAATATAAAAAAGAGAAACGGTGTCTAAACTATGAGAAATATTATTGTGTTATCATAAAATGTATTATAAGTTTGTATGTTAGTGTAAGTAATGTTTAAAAAACTGTATCAGCTAGTGAACCTGAAATATTTTGGGTCATGGGTCATTGTGGCTCGTTTGGGTTCGATCATGTTTGATTGGATTAAAATTAGTTAAATGATATTTTGTAAATATATATATTCTTTTAAAGATAGATCATATTAAACAAAATGCTTCAATAATCATAATGTATAGAAAACTTAAAAATAACAGACTAAAAATGTAATAAAATAAGAAAACAATATAATAGTTAAAATTTGAAATCAATACGTAAAAGCACATTTAAATTTCATTTTCAGGTATTTATCACTATAGATCTTCATCACCTTTAAACAATCATGTAAACTAAGTTTTAGTTTGCTTGTGGAATGAGAAACAAGAATAAGTTAAGTACTTTGTTCTTTATACATTATACAAATTTCATAAACGTAAATGGTTCGATTATCAAATCTTCAACACAGGTGATCAACACAACACTGGACAATTGGCTTCAAATGGATGATGCAGATCAGAAAATGCAGATCTAACAAAAATGCAGATCAAACAAAACAAATGCAGATCATGCAGATCAAATAGAACAAATGCAGATCAAGAAATTATGTCGAATAAATGAATATCTGGTTGATCAAACTAATGTACCGAATCATTATATTTGATTGAATGTTGTATTTTCTTAAAAATAATGAACGTTAAATATATAAAAAATACTAGTTTTAATTAAAAAAGAAAAAAATATATGAAATAAATAAAACTATTGTATATTATTGTCATAAAAATAATTTATTTGTAACATATTAATTTTCATAATGCATTGAATCCTAACTAATTCAAAAAATACTTTGATTTTCTTTATTTGAATATATGTAGATATATAAAATAACTTTAGAACTGAAAATTAAGAATTAAACAAAAATAAAAATACATGCATTTCCAATAATACATACTTTTCAACTATTAGAAACATAAAATTTTCATTTAAAAATTCTTCTAAACTATTATTGTAAACTGAAATTTGAAAATTTGAAATTCATTTGGAAGACTTCAAATTTGAAATTATAAACTTGAAATTTCAACTTTTAAACTTATTTGTTGATATGCATTTTTATTTGTGTCACCAATTACTTGAATAAGTTCATCAGACTAATTTATATATAAATAGAAAAACTGAAATAATTAAACATAAGATACTAAACTACTTTATAAAAATTGCTTTATAATATTTAAATGAAAAATTATTTTATGGTAAACTAAACTAATTTATAAAAAATCATCTAAAAATGTTACATAAAATGAAAAATACTAACTTTATTTTTAAAAAATGATCAATTAAAGAAGTAAAATAATGTAAAGTAATTATTAGCAAATAATTTTAAAATAAACAAAGTATTATTGGGTTATTGCTCTCGCCAGCATCCTTTCTTTGGCAGTTGCAGGACACAACAACTTGAAGAACAAAAGTAATCTGCATGAAGTTGAGTTATTATTTTATCTATTTTTTTTTTAGTTCTGCATTTATTATCATGAATGGACAATAAAATGTTGTTTTGTCTGCAAATTAAAAATCTGCATTTTATCTGGTTTGTTCTGCACACGCATTCTCAGCAATATCTTGTGAATTGCATAGTTGTAGAAAAAAAAAGATGAGACACCGGTACTTTATTACTCTTACAAACCCTACTTTTATTTAAAAAGAAAAAAAATTGGTTTATCAACAAAATTTTGATTTATATACGAATTAGGGGTTTTCCGGTTCATTGGGTCACTGGTTCCCAGGGTTTTTAATGGTTCAACATGGACTTTTAACCAGTTCAACTTTAACTGGATTTTGACATTAATCTAACCCGATTCGTGTCCGGTTTACGGTTAAATCCAGTTTGAATTTAAAAACATTAATAGTGATTGTGTCCAGTGTCTCCAATGTAGCAATGACCAAAACTTACTGATTTATTTCTATTTCGGCGAAATTTTTAAAGATTTAATCGACTTTAAATTAAATTTAATAAAATTAAATTTTCAAGTCTGTTGTTTTAGTTGACGGAAATAAAATTAATTAATTAGGGAAAAGTCAAAAATTCTCTTTGTGGAAAGTAAAGCGAGTGGACGACTCGAGACTAAACTCTTGACAAAGTGAATTCAGTGGTCGGACAAGAGCTGGACTTCCACAGTAGAACACACCTGAAACCATACAAATCAAGATTTATACGATAAATTACTATTCCCAGTTAATTATAATTGCAATTCGTCTTTGTCTCTTAAATAACTATGAAAGAAGAGGACCTTATTAGTTTTACTACAATGCACATAGTTGATTAAAAATATAGCATACAGGTAAATGCATGCAAGTTCTTGGAATGAGGATTAGGCTTAGATATTTAATTAGTGAACATATCACGCAAAGCATTTTACCTGTAATATCAAAGAGAAAGTAAAGATAACCATTATTACCTATGCGAGAAGCTTCGTGCTTGCTTGACAATTCAGAAAAAACCTTCCTCCAGTTAGGTCTTGCAAAATGTGTTCGTATCTGAATCAAGCACACGATTGTACGTATATGCTTTTAAATACCGATAAATATATGATTATAACTAAGGTTAATAAAATAGTAAGTGGACAAAAAAGAGAGAGGCTGTTCCAAGAAAAAAGGACAACAAAGAGAGAGAAGATAAAACATACTCGGCTCTCAGAAACTATGTCAACACCGTTTTTGGCATGTTGAAGTTTTTGGACCATGGCGATTAGAGCCGATCTTGCATCTCCTGCTTCGTACATACTTGTTAAGTAGTTATGCATTTCGATCACATTCTGCCAATACAAATAGACAAACTAATAAGTAATTAATAGATAACAAAAAAAAAAACCATGTTTAAAGCTCATATAATAATCTTTTTGGTCTAAGAATTAAGATGTTTCTAACTACTTTGACTTACTGGTATTAGTAGACATAAGAAAATATGTAACATATTATAACATGATACAAACGAAAATTAAAATAACATATTTATGGGATATATTAGGGTATCTGTGTAATGAAGACTAAGAGTCCGACTGGAGTCTAGGCTGTTAATTTAACGACTTCTAAAATTTAGCCAATCAGGCTTTAATGACTTTTGTTAATCCTAAAACTTAAGAAGCCATTTTTATTATTTCTCTTTTATTAAGTGAGGGGTTTTTAAAAGCAACAATTTATGACTTTAGATTTTTCTCAAGTCATTGACAATTTTTAAAAATCTATAGTTTCTACAGTAAATTATTTTTGTAAAGTCATAGTCACCACAGTTGCAAAGAATCGGAGCCTAAATGACCATATTTTAAAATGGATATAATAACTTACGTTTTTGTCATACACTGCGATATCATCCATAACTCCTTTGAACCATTCGAAAGAAGCTTGTTCTCTTGTCACCCAATAAAAATATGCTCTTTGTGGAAACTTCCTACCCCCATTTACACTAGATCCTCCTAAGCTCTCACCTCCTACACTTCCATCGCCCCTTTGCGCCTACATTATCAATATTTTAAAAACCACAAACCCATTAATTAATATTCTTTATGCTCTTATTTTCTTCGAGAACTCTTTACTTTGGTTATAGATTACTTACGGTTTTTGGAGTACCAGGTTTGAGATTATTCAACATGTCTTTTAGGATACTTATGAAAGGGGTTGCACCAATCCCTAGCCCGATCAACAAAAGTATATCGAATTTCTCGTAATTTTGTGCCGGAGCACCATATGGTCCTTTGATGAAAATTTGTGGAAATCTGGTGGATCGGATGGATATCATGTTTCAATCATCTTATGTAAGAACATCCTCAATGGATCGGGTGATTAAAAGATTTTTACTTACAAGATTTGCGATGCTTCAATGTGAGGATTTTCACCTCTTGCTCTTGTTTCCATCCTAACAAGATTATTTGGACTAGGTTTCGATGCTTGAGGTGGTTCGCATGTCTACAAGAAACAAGAGTTAATTATTTAACCTTTAATTCTTGTTAAGACCGTTATTTATGTAAATTGATAAAATAGGGTAAAATATCTTTAGAAGAAACAGACTAATTAAAATTGGCACAATTACATGAATAACTTGGTCAATGAGGCTCAAGTCAAATCATGCATGACGGGGCCAATAACAGACTAACCGATAAACTTGCTCAAATCGGACAGAGACAAACTTATCTCTGTGTATATACGTACACATTCTATTTGTATTCACAACTACTATTTCAAGGCCATGTTCAGACGTCAAATGATTTGTAAGATCAGATGTTAAAAATAGAAATTACCTCTGCAAATCTGTTTCTAAGTTCACTTGTCCAATCTCCCAATGCTCTTATATGAACGCTCAAATATTCATCTCCGGGTGCAGAAGTGACGGAGAATGGATGCCTAAAACACAGAAGGAATTATTACAATAAATATTAAAATGATAGAAACATAATATCTATTGTTTTTAGAATTGACATAATATTATTTTGATAAGTTTTTTTTTGCTAACCAATCATAATGATAGAAATATAATGTAACCAATCATTATATAAGCAAAACAAAAACTAAACATAATATATTCTGCGAGTTTTTTTGTTTTTTCCAAGTTATATAATGACTGGTACATTTTCTTTGAGAGAAAAGTATTATTACCATTCGAATTTGGAGATGTCGGGGCACTTGACAAACATGTACATGCCACTTTTGTACTTGAACCCTTGAGGTTTTGTCATATAGAGTGCAAGAACATTGCCTGAATACACGATAGCCTAGGCACAAAATATTCAGGAAGAAAGAAACCACAATCAAAGTAGTGATAGCTATATTTTATAATTTAATAATTTAATAGTAATAGATGAAAACTATAAGATTCGTAAATAAATTACCTTGATAATGTGGACACGGTGGTTGTGTTCTTGAAGTCGCGAGAAAAGCCTTTCGCTCGCGTAAAACGCCATTGGTACGGCCACGTACATCCATGTCTTAATTTTTGCACACAACCAAAATGTTATTTAAAAAAACAAAAATATTATTTAAAAAAAAAACAAAAAACAACACACACAGAAGTCATTAACGCCAGTTAGTAAAAAAGAGTATGTGTTTAGTTTATATTTAACTAATGCTTCTCCTAAGATACACATTGGTATTTCTTCAAAAAAAAACATACATATTGGTTTTTAGTATATAATAAACGTACCGTCTTTTGGTACCAGGGTTTCTCAATGATAAGAATGTAACCATGGATGATGAGAAGAACGTAGACAACAACCAGCAAATGATGAGCATACCAAAATGAATTAAATCCAGCAAGAACGTTAAACGGCTTAGGCAATTTCACTATGTTCCTTCTGAAGTAATGCATGGCGAGCGTGAATGAGATACACATGAAGACTATCATCAAAAGTCCAGTAACCGTAACTGAGGTTAACATTAGACCTAAATAGGTGGGTTGCTTGTGCCCCAAGAGGTGTCCCCCGTACTTAGTGTACAAGTCATAAGGACACGTGCTTAGCCTAGGGTAGTTGCATAGCAAGTGTAGTGCCGTGTGCAGCAAGGAAGAGACTGCGATCGCCACGGCTATCAACTTGTGAAAGTTGATATTATCGTCGAATGGAATCACGTGGCTCAAGAAAGTAGATCTGAGGAACGTTAGGGTTCTTCGTAAAACGGGGACCAAGACCAAGGCCATGTTGAATTTGAGCATTTCGGCGGTTCCTTTAGCGACGGAAACGCAACGCCCCGCAATGTTATAAAGAGGGTTCGTTGTGAACTCGGTGTATTTCCAAGTGAAGAGGCAGGCATTGACAACGAGCCACAATATAACGACCCAAATCTTCTTCCAGTGCTCGAGCATTAGCTCAGCGGTTACTGAAATGTACTTGCTTGTTGGCGTTCTGTAACGTTCAGGGATCATGGCTCTCGTTAGAGTTTCAGATTTTCTCGCCATCTTTTTGGTGTCTGCAGGGTTTGCTACCATTCCTGTTAATAGCACCTCCAGTTGCCACATCTGGTTCATGTATATTAATTTATACTACTGTCAGAGGGAACGAGCGATGCAATATTTACCGCAATAGCCTTTTATTGTACTTTCAGTATAAAAAACAAAATATTGCGTATGATTTTTTAAAACCTTAAAGTATAATTTTCATTGTATTTCTTATTCCAAATTAAGACTAAATTTTGAGGATGGAACCTAAAACCAAACACTAAAAAATTAAAGTTCAAACCAAATTATTGTAAAAATAATTTTCAAACAAAACATTTGATTTGGATTAAATCTAAATTAATTAAAGTTGGTGAATGCTAATTTTCAGGGCCCAAAACTATTTAGCTTTTTTAGGATCAGATTTCATAATTTCTTAACAACTGTAAGCTTTTTCATATGATTGATAACTTCAGATTGATTGATCAAAGCCTAGCCCCGTAACTATGAACCATTAATCTGAGGATAAAATGGCATTATTAAGATGAAACCTCAATGTAACCATGATGATCAGGGTCGAGTTCTTCCATGATCAAAGAAGCATAAGACGCAGCGTTCTTCTTGAGATTGGCGAGTCGGTTAGCCGATGCACTCAAGACCATGACCTCTTTCACCTCTTCTTCTGTTAGCTTCCCATCTCCGTCCTTGTCACACCTAAACCAAAACCGTTAACCTCATTTGCTATATATATATGTTTTTTCATAATGAAACCACAAGAACAAAATAATGATTACATATCAAAGAAGATCTGGAGGCGGCAATCTAAATCTTTCTTGATCATATCTTCCCAAAACAGCTTCAGTTGTTCTTTATCGATCCCATTTTCGGTGTTTATTCGTCTTCTCCTACTCAATGCTTCGTATACTTCTCCCGCAAACTCCAATGTATCTCCCATTCCTTACACACCCACACACATTATTATAACATCAAATACATAAGATGGATATGTGAAAAGAATCAAAGTATTAATAATTTTACCGATGCAAATGCCAAATTTTTCCTTGGGAAGCTTTCCATCAACGGCGAACTGATTGAAACGGTTCTCGATAGATCTCCATGAGTCACGTTCCCGACCGGTGACGGTCCGATCAAGGAACCGGAGACTCTGTAATCCCCTAGCCGCACTAGACGTGGTCCTCTCAACTCTTTGCGGGCCTTGTTTCTTTTCTGAGGCAACAGGTAGCGTGGGCCCCAAGTTTCCGCTCTTTCTTGTGTTATGGAGCCCGAGATTGCCGCTTTTTTTAATCGATCTGATTATTGATCCCACACCGAGATTCCTCGACACATTTTTCAAGATCCCACTTCCACTACTCTCGGCATTACTGCTATTGGTTATGTTTTCGCCATTTGGATCTATCTCGCCGCCCTCGGCCATCTGTTTCGAGGAATCTTCCTTCCTGTTGTTTTTCATATTGGCTTATAACTTCTTTTTCTCCTATGATTTAGTTATAAACGCTCATGAGGATATTCACTTCGACTACTTTTTTTGTTCCTCTGCCCGAATCGATCCTTGTTTTTGGTTGGTAACGGATCATGAGAGATCTTTATTTTCTCTCTTTTCTTGAGAATTCTTGCTCTTGTTCTTTTGGAGATTTCGTGTTGGTAATTTTACGAGCCAAGACTAAGAATAGCCTCCTCATTTTGTGTCGTTTTGTAGCATTTTACATAGTCTATTTACTTGGGAAGAGTGACACATCAAAAGTTACTAAATATAGAAATTCCTAAGGAAAGTTGAACTTTAAGGTCAATCACACAAAAGTCGCTACAAGTATCTCTATAATATTATTTGAGAAGTCAGTTTCCTATGTGGCGCGCTCACGTTGACTCTTACACTGGTTGATTACTTTGATACCCTTGATGAATATATTTAAATAGTATATTTAAATAATATTATTAATTTTATGTTTAGTTTTCTTTTTAAAACATTCCAAATAACTTTTATAATAAAAAGAAAAAAATTATTAAATTTAAAAACGAAAATGTATGTTTATATAATACGATTTCATTAAAAAGGAAAGTTCACAAAATAGTAATATACTATCAAAATAGTAAAATAGTATTATTAATTTTGTATTTAGTTTCCTTTTAAAAAAATTCCTACTAAAATTTATAATAGAAAAAAACATCTATAAAATTTAAAAGGAAAAATTAAAAACGAAAATATATGTTTATATAATATGATTTCATTAAAAGGGAAAATTAACAAAATAGTAACATCCATTAAAAATATTTTAAATAACATAAATGTACCTTTTTAATTAATAAAATACTTTCTTTATATCTGTATTTTCTTATATGAAAATATATATTTTTATATAATGTGATTTCATAACAAAAAATTCACACATATAATTTTGATATTTGAAAAAAAATTTTACTTTTAAACATAATTTTAAGTAACATAAACAAGTATATGTTTTTATTAACTAAAATAGTTTTTAATTAAAATTATTGAATATTTTATTTATTTTCAGATATTTAGTTGACTATAGTATCTTTCAACTAAAGCAAAAAAAAAATATCTATAAATTTTACTTATATAATATGATTTCTCAAATACAACCACAATTTTTACTGCTTATTTTTAAGAGAAATTAAAATATTTTTTAACAATAAACATCTTTTAATCAAATAATTACAAAATATTTTAAAATATCATACCACTCTATACTTTAATGACATAGATATGTTATATTCTATCATTATTTAAATTATATGTTTCTTAATTTTAATTTTTTAAAAAAATTTATGTTTGTGTAACTTAATATAACCATAATAACAATACCAAAGCAAATCCGAATTCTCATTTTTAAGATTATTTAACATAATTTCAGTTTATCATTCAATAAATCTAAGATATAAAATTATTTAGAATTTATAAAACATTTCAGTTATTGTAAATATTGATATGTGTTCATGAATCTCCAAAAATATATGAGTTACTTAAGTATGTAACTTCCTACTGATTATTGCTTTATTTTCTACTATATTTTAAAGAAACATATAACTTGATAAATCTTATGAAAATACGTGCACATTTAAATGATAAATAATATTACTTTAATTTGATTTATTTTGTGAAATGATAAATGATAATGAGACTTCAAAGATTATCTTTATATCGATTGATGTAATTGGAAATCAAAATTATTTTATATTTCATTATAGGCATAATATATCTTAAGTTATAAATAACTTTTCTAAAATATATTGACATCTGAGACAACAAACAACCTAAAAGTAAATAATAGAATTAATCAAAATTTAATATATTTAGAATAAAAATATTATAGTTGAATTCAGAGAAAAGAATGCAATCTAATATACCCAAATAATAACAGTAAAATCGACTATAAAATAATAAAATTGACTAGATATAATATGTCTAATTAAAGTAAAATAATATTATTAATATAAATCATGTATGCAAATTATAAATTAATTTAAAATTAAAAGTAAATAGTAATCAATTATTATAGTACATTTACTTAATAAATATTTATACCCGTGCATGAGCACGGGAAAATCACCTAGTATTGAAATATCGAAGGAATGGAAACCTAGACACAATAGACGACGGTCGAAATAGTATGGATTGTAATGAACTTACCTGAGAAGAACTAATGTTTTCAAACAAAATGAAGAATTGATTAAAGGTATCCATCAATCTTGAAACGGTATGGATTCTAATGAATTGATCAAATAATAGTCATTCTTGACTGTGGCAAAAAAAAACAATATATATATATATATATATATTCCTTTTTTTTGCTAAATATATATGTTTGTTAGAGTATACTGTCTAAAACTCTAGGGGCTCTAGTAAAAATAAAAACATCTTTGTAATTTTTGTCTATTTAAAAAAAAAAAATTCTTTGACAAAATATTTAGTTTAATCTTTTTAATAGTTTGAAATTATTTTAGTTTTATAAATTAAAATTAAAACTATTTTATAATTTTTAATATATATTCGTTTATATGTAAAAGATTTTCAAGATATTATAGATTTTTTTCTGCGTGTTTGTTATAGATTAAACAGTAACGTTCTCTGCCTTCTCTCTTCTTTATCTCTCATATTTCCTCTATTCTTTTCGCTTCAAATTTGTTGATCTGTATTTTCCAGCCACTGGTGGTGAGCTTATTCAGCCACATCGTCAATTATTATTTTTAGCTGTATCTTTGTTTTCTTATGTCTATCACTATCGATTTACTTCTTCATTCTTGTTCTAAACATCCGTGGATCTAGATTTAGATCATTAGATCCCTTCTCGGTTGTTCTTGCATGTAGGCTTTAGATCTTCTGGTGCATGATCTCTTCCAGTTGCCGGCTCCGCGTTCGGTTGATTCAAGTTTTGAGGGGATCTGTTTCGAGTTCATGGATCTGAATTTGGTTCAGGCTTCCTTTCTCTGGGCTTTTTAATGCGTTAGTTGGTTTGTTTCAAGAGTTGAAGGTGTTGTTCTTAGGAGGAGAGCTTCTCCTTGGTTTCATGTGCAATGGCTCGATTCATGTGGATCGTCTTTATTATCTTATACATTAAATATTTTTGGAAACTCTTAAGGAGTAGGAGCCTCGGCTCCTAGTCAACTTGTCGATTGGTATGCGATTGGTAAATCAAGTGCATCTCCTCGTCTACTGGGTTGTACTCAAGTGGTTTGTTCTCGTGGCTCCTGTGATCTACGAAACAGTATAATGAGACCCATTTTGAAGTTTTACCCTGAATAATTCTGCCATGGTTGATACGCTTAACTATTTTCCTCTTGATTTCCATAGTTGACGACTTTTGAGTGTCTTGTTGTTTATGATATTACTTTAACTCGTTTCATGGGTTTTAAAACTCCACAATCTACAATTGAGTCCAGGACTACGAAAGAGATGGGGATGGTCTAGATGTGCATATGCCAAATCAAATCGATGGTGACATGACCTGTACCACTTAGATATAATTATTGTTAGCTAGTTAAATAGCATATTTCAAATGTTAGTTATGGTTATAACCAAATTCTTTTTTATAAACTGTTAGTGTTTTGTGTATGTGTTATACTTATTATTGTTTGTTACGTCAATCATTTGTGTCATTTTCGAAAGTAATATGTTACCTAGTTGTTTTATATGTATACTTAACAAGAAAACATAATGCTATGCAGGTGTTGGACAAATGGTGAAGTCAGCAAACATCACCCCCTTGACGAAAGGAAATTGTCAAGTTCAGTAGAGTTTAGATGGGGAGGAGATCGTTAGGCTCCATTAAATGTTAGTGTTGAAAGTAATAGTAATTAGTGATTATAGGTGTAACAAAAATATTAAATATGTATCAAATATGATAGTATTAACCGGTTTGAGTATGTAAATGCTATTGAAGATATTGTATGCAAAGATTGTCTAAACAATGGTAGTGGCTAATAACAAATGTAAAGTCTAACTTCATATGTACCGACTTACGTTTTCTATTAAATATAATATTATTTTCGACAAATCGAAACACAAATGCTAAAAAGTTAATATCAAGAAAAATATTTCAAAGGTAAGCTAAAATTATATTAGCCATGAATAAGAAAAACTTAGATGTCTCAAAATGGATCTTAATGACTAATTCAAAATAGAAATGAAAATATGAATAAGTGGATACATGTTAACAAATTAATTAGAGGGCTAATAATAAAACGAAGATGTTAATTCAAACATACATATGATTATATGAACACATTGTTAAATGTTATTAAATATGTTAACATTTTTATAATGAATCTTAACATAATTTAAATATACACGTAAGATTATAGCTGACAAACTTTTTTTTTAATCAAATAAATATGTAAATAAATCTTTAATTGAATGATTATTGCGATAAATATTCTTAACAAGTTAAGCTAGTATTAAGCCAAATCTAAGATCTCCATCGCTACTCTTCTTAGTTCATCTTTCTTCTCCTACTTAGCAGGAGCAACAACGGAAATTTATCCACCAGCTGGAGATGTAGCAGCAGCAACAAGCGCACCACATCCACTGCCATCAGCACCGACATTCATGATGAAGTCAGTGACGTTAGAATTCTAAGCCATCTTGTTGAACACCATTGGCCAGTATGACTCAATCTCGGCGCTAGCGGCTTTGGCTAAATTCGCAGTCTTGTTAGACTACTGAGAATAGGGTGAATGAATAAACATAAGCAAAACATACTTCTTGAACATAGAACAAAGCCACTCCATAATAAAATGGGCATATAAAACCAACAAGACTAGATCTAATACTAACACAAAAACTGAACTAATAAAACATGCAAAACATGTTTACAGTACACTAACATACAAGAGCATTCAAGATATAATCCACAGCAAAAGATTTGTTCTCAGGTTTAGATTAGTGTCTAAGGAATAAAACACAATATCATAACAATTTTGATGATGGAAATGATCAACAAAACTTGTTAGAAAAAGAAAAGAAACGAAATGATCAACATAACTAAATGAAAACAAACACAACAAGTATTCAGAACACTGACATAGCTAACATGATCAATTGTCATAGCATTAAAGATCTAACCTTAAAAGAGAAAACTTAGTACTGTTCAAGAAAAAGAACTTTCAAAGAGGAAAATGATCAACAAGACTATATGAAACAAAAAGCTACTAGTTACGACGATGGGTTGAACAATCATGCTAGAGACGGAACCACATAGCCAGATGAGAGATGCCCATTTGTGAGGAGAGAGAGAGTTGTAGGACCCACCTTAACTATAAACCGGCGGCGATGGAAGCTACAGAGATGATTTTATGGAATGGAGGCGGCTTATCAAAATCTTTCAAAGATACTGCATCTTTTACAGTTTTTTTCTGTTGCAAAAGTTTCGATTCTCGAAGGAAACACGAACAAAAAAATTGATTTTACGGAGTGGAGGGTTTCTTCTTCACCTGAACTCATTATCTTAATTACCGAGTGAAGTGTTTTTTGGGGAGAAAAGCTCAGATAACAAGAAAAATGGTGTTTTCCAAATCTGAAAGAGGAATACATATGATAGATATTTAAGAAACTATCTTTAGGCTTTACTATTTCTGATATCCTTGGATACAAAAAAATATTTTAAAGGATAGAATAGGAGAAGAAAATCTGATCATATCTTTGTAAAAGAATTTGGAAGATTTGGTTATTATCGAGATGTAGGTTAATAGTAAAGGTAACATAGTCAAAAAATTATAGTTTTATTATTAAAAAGTGACTTTAGGCATTTAGATAATTAAGTGATAAAAATTTTGGTGTACAATGCAAATACTCTAAAAATATTTACTGTAAAGTTTAATTGATATCGTTAAAATGAATGGTAGATGATTAATAATATGTTTACAAAGTCTTTTTTTTTTCTTGGTAGAGAGATTCTTCTCGGTAGAGAGATAATCTTTCTTTCTATCCCTCTTCACAGATCCTTATCTTTCAGAGGGAGGATAAGTTTGTGTTTTTTTTTTATGTAAGATAAATGTTTTGATCAGTTTCTTTTGTTTGCTATGGCGATTTCTTATTCGCGTAAGCAATTTTAATGTGTAAAGTTTAACAAAATAAAAGCTGTTTGTCATTCTTATAATCCTTTGACGAGTTGAACATAAATAAAATTATGGTAGAGTTCTTCTCCTTCTGCATTGATATCTTCACACTGTTTAACCGAGAGATTTGATTTACCTCTTTATTAGACAAGCTTAGCTCCTGATTCAAAGGTGGTATCAAGCTATGCTTGTGTTCAGATGTAGTCTCCACAATGATCAAGAACTAAGATTTGGATCACGCTTTAGAGATTCATGACATATTGTAGTTCCGATCTATCATTTTCTTCTAAAGCTCTTACCTGAGATAAAATTTAACAGTTGGAGAAAAAGATCTTGCGGTGATTGAAGATGGAAGAACATGCAAGCAGTCTCATGCAAGTTCGAGATTGAAATATTTGGCTTCCCGACGAGAGGTTCCGGCACCGTCTTCTTCTTTATTGGTTGAAGAAACACGACCATATATTGACCACTTGTCATCCATGATTCGATCATCTTTTGTTGGTTAATATATGAGTTTTGTTTGGGATACATTTTATTGTTGAGTATGTTTGCAAATTTGCATATGTGCTTTGTTTAATAAAACAAAAAGTTGGAAAAAGAAAAAAAGATTAATAATTTCTTACAAACCATAGAATAGATAGAGGATCCATTTAATACTTCTCTCTGAGAGAGATTTCAATGGCGATTAGTTTCTAGGTTTGATTTCAATCTGTGACGCTATTCTTCTCTCTCAACCGAACGTAATAAGATTGAGATGAGAAGTTATAAAGGTATGACAAATTCTCGCCGTAATTCATCATTATCATCTATTCCTCTTCACCGATAGAGTCTAGCAAGTCTTTTTGTTACCTTCCTAGTTTTCACAATTATGATTATGACGGATACACTTTGCAGTACACACTGTTTCAATACAGATCTCTCCCGGTTTCACATCGGATTTGTTAACATACCGATTACAAAGAGAAACATATGCATTCACTCTGCATTGTTTATCTTTGACGTAATCAATTTGTCCACGATCGATGACCAGCCACATTGGAGTCTATTCCAATACTTGTGAAACGCTATCTAATCGGGTTTTCATCATCCTTCTACTAATGGAGGATAATCCGTCGGAGAAGATATATGATGTATTAAAGGTGGCGACTTGTTTTTTCAGTCAGTGTAATTTATTGTGAAAAGTTTAATAGCCAAAAGAAGACTTCTAGTACTGAAAGAAAAACATGTTAATGCTCATAGTTGGATACAATATATGTGGTATAAGATTATGAGTAAGCATGAAGCAATGAAGAAACCATGGAAACTGCTATGGTGGAGACAATGGTTCGGAAAAGGAGATGTGTTTGCTTTGTTGTATGGCGATGTTTGTATAATCGTTGAAACTTGACAGCTTTAATTTATATTCTTTTATAAAGTATCAGTATATTGGATTCTTTAGGAATGATATATTTAGACCTAAGGAATTGGCCAATATTATACAACAAAGGGAATTGGTGTTTATAGGAATTATGTTGCGATGTAAGATTTGGAGTTTCATCGTATGGTTGTTAGCAAAATGTGATATTCGCAGGAGACCAAGAGCGAATATGCATAAGAAAACTAGGAGTTATCCTTGTTAAAGCTCAAAAAACAAGTAAAGATTCTTCAGAAAAAGGTATCCTCAAATATTACTTTTTGTATTGTTGTTATGTCATTCTATCTATGTAATAACCTATGTATTCTTTGTTTGTAATTTTATGTAAAACTCATTTATATTAATAAATAAAATTGTTGTTTTAAAAAAAAAAGACAAGAGGACCGATTTGGGTTGGGTTTAACATAAAACTACTAAGCCCATTAATTGATTAGTTTAGGCCCAAGTTGTGAACCCAGCTTCTGAACTTATCAGTCTTCTTCAACCCTCTAATTCACCACCGTCTTCTTCTTCTTCTCTCTGGTCCCCTTTTAGTTTATACGAGTTTCTTTCTAGGGTTTTCTCCAGATTCATCTACCAAATTATTGCTGACGCAGAAGCATCGAAGCTCTCAATTCTGGAGAAACGTTAAGGTAATTCGATCCCAATTCATCATCGAAATCCCTAGCTTTAATTGAATTCGTACAATTCGTCTCTGAACTTTCTTGTTTCGATTTCTGAGAGAGTTTTTGATGCTTCGTTTCTGTTAGGGTTCTCGTTCACTCTCCATAGAAGAAGTGTTTCGCTGAGTGGGATGGCGATCGAGAAGAGTAACGTAAAGCTGTCTAGGTTTGATTCAGAGTACTCTCATGGCAGTGATGAATCTATGTCAAGTTACCAAGAAGAGGACAGGCTTGAGCTGAAACGTAAACCCTCAGCGGTTAATGTTGATTCTGAGGATGATGATGATGATGATGGGTTTGTTGAAGATGATTCTGGAGCAGGCTCTGATGATTTTGATCTGCTTGAATTGGCTGAATCTGGTTCTGAGTTCTCTCAGGTTGGGAACGTGACTTGTAGCGTTCCTTTTGAGTTGTATGATCTCTCTAGTCTTGAAGATATACTCTCTGTTGATGTTTGGAACGAGTGTCTCACTGAGGAAGAACGGCTTAACCTCTCATGTTATCTTCCTGACCTTGATCAGTTCACGTTTATGCTTACTCTGAAACAGCTTTTCGAGGGTCTTAATTTCCACTTTGGCAGTCCGATCAAGAAACTGTTTGACATGTTGAAAGGTGGGCAGTGCGAGCCGAGGAACGTGCTTTATCTCGAGGGACGTAATTTGTTTACAAGGACGAAACATTATCATACGCTGAGGAAGTATCATAATGACATGGTAGTGAATCTTTGTCAGACAAGGGACGCTTGGGCAGGCTGTAGAGGGTACAGTGTCGATGAGAAGCTCCGGGTCTTGAATATCGTCAAAAGCCAAAAGACTCTAATGCGCGAGGAAAAGGACTATTATGAGGAGGATTCATCAGAAAAGGAAGAACCTTTTGATGGGCCATGGAGCAGGAAGGTAAAAGATAGGAAGTCTGCGCAGAACAAAATGGCCCGTCATTCAGGTTATGTTGTTGATTCAGGTTTGGAGTTTCCTAGGCACTGGCAGCCTACGGTTGTAGAACAGGATAGATATGGCAAACCAAAGTCGAAACCGAAGACAGCAACACTGAAATTTCCATTTGAGAAAACGTCTGTGGGGCCATATGCTTCAGGTTGTAATGGTGTAGGTATGACCTCTTCTCTCGCTAGACAGAAGTATGGTTCTAATTTGGTTCTTGGGTCAGAAGATAATATGGATGATGATGATCAGGATCCACTCTTTGGAACTGGTTCTTGGCGAGATCAGGACATTGTTGTTAGAAAGAAATCTGGATTCTTGAGGCTTGGAAAGAAACATAAGTTTTCAAGGGAGGGAGAACTGAATTCCGAACATTTCATGGGTCCACCATATTCAGCAAGGCATTCCCACAGCAATGTTGCGAAGTCAAGTAAATATGCAAATCAAATGAAGCCCGTAAAAGGTAGTCTGGCAGATCTTCGTGGGGACTTCTATAGGCATGGGAAGTATCATGGAGATGGATTTTCGGTTGACCCCAGATATATATCTGATGACTTGAATGGTAAAAGCAGAAAAAGGAAGTGTGAGAGGGACTCACCAGATACTAGTTTGAGAACTTATAGAGCCTCTATGCAGCAAATGAATGAAAGGTTCTTAAATTCTGATTTTCGTGAGAACCAAGTGCAGGATGGTGAAAATTTAGATGCCAGGTTGGTTTCTTGCAGTTCTGGGTCCAAAAGGAGAAAGGTTAGAGAGTCTTTGATGGACATGGAGAGGAAGGAGGATAACGGTGAGATGCGGCTTTATTCTGACACTCAACAGCCTGTTTGTGATATTATTGCCTCAAAGAGAAAGGGAAAGAAGAAAATGGAGGTTGATGTTGATTTTCTCGAGCTAGAAACCTCTGAAACACCTAAAGTAGGAAAGAGTGCAAGCGAAGCAGAGGTGGAAACCAAACCGCAGAAGAAGACGTATGTGCTGATCACACCGACAGTTCACACTGGCTTCTCCTTTTCCATTATGCATCTTCTTACAGCAGTGCGTATGGCAATTACAAGCTCTTGTCCTACAGATTCATTAGATGTTAGCAAACCTGTGGCAGTGGAGAC